CCGGATACCGAGACTTCCGACCGCAAGCCGCTCTTATGCCCATATACAATAGACAGGTTTCTTGACCCAGTAATGGACGTGAAACCTTTGCGTGCAGCCCTATTCGATATTAACGATAACATCTTGGAAAGTTACCAATGAAGGATGGGAATAGAATCTTATAGAAAACTCGTAAACTAAGCTACATCTGGATTTATCCCATAAGTTAACTTGACTTTTCTTTTGATTTACTTATATTGTTCTGTGATTTTATATTTCTTAACATGTTTACTGCGTAACAGGCCGATATCGGCCTGACGCGGTACTTAAGCTGGTGCGGACGAAGAAAACCATATCCCTCTCGCTAGTGCGAAAAAATTATCTCAGGTGTATACATTACATTACATAAAATGTATTCATTATGTTTCCACAAATTTATAGCAAATTATTTATCTTAAAGCTGGTGGGTCTAGAAAGACCTACCACGTATTGGCGGAAACATCATTGGGGGCGTTATGACCCACCGCCCCACCAGTTGAAGAATTGATTTTACTTGCCTCAGTAAACGTGTTAACCTCGAAGTAATTGTATCCAAAAAGCGGCTTATAAATAAAACGATAAACGAGGTGTGAATTATTTTTGATATCTTGAAGGTAATTAAATCGATCATCACGCATTGCAGCATGCTACTTGCCTCGCATCCGGCGATTGTCACTAACAACTTCATTTGCATTTAAAATACGCCATTATAAACTTTATAAAGCGATATAACTAATCTTGCTTATATAAACATAATTAATTGTATTAAACTTATGTGATTGAACTAGCTTTTGACAGCGAGGTCCATCATCATCACCATCACCAGCTCACTATACGTCCCCACCGAGGGGCTCGGAGTCTTACATAGGGTGACTAGGCCATAATCAACCACCATTGTTGGTTGGTGACTTCACACATATCTTTGAATTTCTTCGCCGATATGTGCAGGTTTCTTCATGATTTTTCCTTCACCGTAAGAACGTCAGGTAAATTATGTACATATGAAAATACGACAAATCGTAAATCACATTGATACACGGGATTCAAACCCAAGACCTGTAGATTACAAGTCAAGTGCTTAAACCACTGAGCCTTCGTCTGCGCGGAATTAAAAAATAACTTAGTATGTGGTCTACATTTGTGCCGAATTTCAACAAGATTCGTTAAATTGTTTTGAAGATACGTAGTAAACATTATCCAAACTTTCGCATTTATAATATTAGTAAGTAAAGTAAAAAGCATGACTGATGTAATTAATCAAGATTTCGTACAAATGTACACATATAACATGTACTTTAAATACCACATATTCGAGAATTTTATTTGAATTGTTGACTCAATAAAGGAGTCATTGTTAATTTGTTTCGAATTTTTTGCATCGTTGTGCAAACATTATTGATGTCGCAATTACGAAATTTACAAACAAATACGTAATCAATAAGAATTCAATCGAAAACCTTTCATAACAGGAAAAGTATTCCAGGAATTTTTAAAGAATTTACAAAACCAAATTCCGATATTATGTTCATACTTTGCTGGTTCTCTCTACTTCAAGGTAGTCCAAATAAAAAGGCAGTTTAACTAATACAAGTCTTAATTAAAATATATTTGAATGTATGCTCCAAATACGGAAGATGCATAATTGTGAATACACAATTACAGTTTTGAATAAAATTTTATTAAGCATGAAGGTTTAAAAAGAAACTACAGTCTAATTTATAAACATCTATCTCTTTGTATTGTTTTTTTGTATTTGTTGGGAGCGTCGGTGGCTCAATGGTTTAAGCACTTGACTTGTAATCTACAGGTCTTGGGTTCGAATCCCGCCATGTACCAATGTGTTTTCGAATTTTCATTTGTACATAATTTACTCGGCGTTCTTACGGTGAAGGAAAACATCGTGATGCAACCTGCACATATCGGCGAAGAAATTCAAAGATATGTGTGAAGTCAACCAATCCGCACTTGGCCAGCGTGGTTGTCTATGGCCTAGTCACCCTTACTTAGGATAGGCACCGAGCCCCTCGGTGGGACGTATAGTGAGCTGGTGATGATGATTGTTTTTTTGTACAAGGAAGTGATACAATGAAACAATAAACGGTAGCAATGAACTAAAAAAATCTGCTCTCAAGGTCGCAGAAACCACGTGCGTGCGCCTCTGCGTGTCTACTTCAAATGATGTTGCATTAGGAAGAAACACATCAATTACCGTCAAACTCCTCAAGTTATTTTGCCTTGAAAATAAACACGAATAGAAACCGACGATCGCTTCCTTTGCTTACTTTATAAGTAGAAAACTTAATGAGAACGTTTCTAAAAATTATTTATCTTAGTAATATTATAAATGCGAAAGGTTATATATTTGGAAGGATGGTGTTAAAAAAATCTCTATGGAATTGACCATAGATGAAAAGGATAATCTGGAAATAAAACCATTTTTTTTAATTCGCCTCGGGCAGAGTTGCGGCCAGTTAGTTGTATAATAGGGGGTATTGTAATACTTAAACAGTAATGTTCGCTGTCAAACTAAGTTTACTTGTTCATTAACTTTCTCCGAATACTTGAGGATACATCATAATTACAATTGAAAATCATTATAAATAAAATTGATAGTCTATAATTAATTAATGTTACTATAACATTTATTTTAATGACGCCGCTGTTATCTCGTATCGAAAACTGTCAGTTTATTAATCGTAAACTGATTTGGTTATCAATTTGATAAATCGATGCAGGGCATTCACACCAATTATTACTTTGTTTTAGTTATTAAAAAGCGGTATGGAGTAAAAGATCAATTAATTACAGCAAAGTCTATAACGTATTTAAATTTCAAAGATAAAACAACACCTATGTCTTTGACAGATAATAAAACCAAACTTTATTAAAGGCAAAGGTAATGTTGTCGTACAGCCACATATTTTTTTTTTATAAAATTGATTCCATTTTTAAAAACTAGGATAAAAGCGAGTTGTCTCTTTTATCCTAGTTTAGAATAGATTTTGGTTCCATACCAAAGCATCGATGTAGGAGCGCACCATCGCCAGTCCCCTGCAGCTCCCCATCTTCTCCCGCATCTTGACGCGCACGGTGTCACAGATCATATTAGCACATGCGTGTTCACATCACAACAACACCAATGCACAACGCTCACTGAACAAGCACTTAGTGTATAAAACACCCAATTCAGTTTTGAAATTTGCCGGACGCGAGGCAATTTGTGTCGGCACTACGTCCGTTTACTAACGCAGATCGAGCGCGGAACGCACTTTTGTAATTGTGACTAACAAATGAATGTTTTTATTATTTTTTACGTTTTTAACGAGTTTTACAAATGAATATCATTAATAAATTAAACACTGGCTATATGACACAGGGTTAAATCTATTTGAAAATGGAACGATTTAATTAAAAATTTTTATTTTTTCAATTTATAATATTTCCAGCCTTGTTTGGCCAATAAATTAAACGTGACTAGACGCGGAATACGTTCGCATTAGTTGATGTTCGAAAACTGTTTACAAATTGTATTTGAAGTCCCTTTGCTCTTAATTGCATATTTATCTAATGACTGACGTTCTTACTTATCGTAGCGTCGAAATGGATTGTCCGGCTCACGTCTAACTATTGTTTCCATGTATAAAAATGTTTTTTTCTTAAGTAAAAATTTAAATAAAATAATTGATTTAACTCGTCGATCATTGACGCAGATAAAAAATAACTTAAACGCGCAGTTCAAAAAAATTGTGTTCTAAATGAACGATTTCCTTTTTTTATTTGTTTTCTAATAAAACATAATCCTTGGTTTAGATAAAAGCTAGAATTATTTGACTATATTGGAGAATACAAAAAAATTGTAACTATCAAGTTTTTAGCAGCAAATAGTTCCAATAAAACTGGACGTTCCGTAAAAAATACAACGCATGGTGAGCCTACCCAAGGCCGAGTACTCTTGTGTTGAAACCCGTAATGATTTATCACTAACACGTAAATGATTCCTCGTGACATCAAATTAGGGAATCGTTACAAATATCGGCTAATAATATCACATTCTTAACAATTCAAACTATCACAAATAATCAAAATATGGGTTAATAACTATTGACTTGTATAATTGGACAGGCTATAAACGACAGGTACTAATAATACAAATAGAATTAGCTTTCATTAACATCAACAAGCGGATTTAATTTTGAACGAAGCAATAGTTGTCATTTCCAATCAAAGACCTATCAATTTATACAGATCAGTGGCTAATAAGACAATTTAATATGCATACAGAGAGGTATTTCAGCAGGAACAGCTCTACAAATAGATAAATTGGTTGAAACTTTTAATGTAATTATTTCTAGCGATATTAAATCACTCTGAACTAGTAATGCGCGCGAATATTCATCCTTCTAAAGACATTGACAGCTGTCAGTTAGAGATGTGACGTTTATGCCAATAATCTAGTGTTGCGCCAATTCTATAGTGCTGTACTAATTTTCTTCTTAACAAAACAGGAAGTGTAAAGACTGAAGTTAATGATAAATTGACAGATATCAATATAGATTACTTAATATAGCATTGTTGTGGATAAATCTCAAAGTTTAATAATCAAAAAAAATAGTTCGTAATATCTTCTGGAATGGATTGTCGTAATAATTATTAATAGATCAATAACCTAATGATATTACGACTGTAATTCGATTTCTAAATCTTTTAAAGGTAAAGAGAGAGTTGCATTTGCTATTGTTCCCGTACCAATCAGAGCCATAAACAGCAAACAATAACAGTAGGAAAAGCTTGTTAGAAAATAATAGAAGATATAACCTAATGGTTTTGTCGGATAATAGAGTACATTTGTTTTTAATATACTAGAGTTAACAAATTTTGTGATTACTCAATAAATTTACGGTAACAAGACAAGCTAGCAGATTATGGCACAAATGTTGATATCATTAAATGATTGTTTAGTGTCAGTATTGCGACGTTTGTGAAGCAAACAATTTGACAGTTGTTTAAAATGCACTTTACACAATTTAGGTTATGTACACACAAATATTTATACATTGTTACAATTGCGTGCATAAGGACAGATCGGCGAATTGCGTCAGTTTATTTATGTCGACATGTAAACTCCGATTCATTTAAAAAATTGTATAATTTAATTTATGTCTACAAATGCGCAATTTCAGAAAATACCGATAGTATTTTATTAATCAGAATCCTGAACTGTATCATATTATTGTGCTTAAATTATTATAAAAATGAATTCATAAAAACTACGTTCAAGTAATTCAGAATGCACGCATCACTGCGTATACAACTTGTTCCTAATGACAGCCTAACGAATCGTGAAAAAAAAACAAAACGGCTGACAATGTTGACAGCTATTAAAATGATATGTCAACTGATCTATAACGACTGTCAGTTGTTTTTTTTTAACTGTAAACTGTAATATAATCTTTATGAAAAAATCAGAGGCAACAAAGTAACTTATATTTCGAGTAATTTAAATAGATTTACGGATGGAGGTGCGATTTATAAGTTGTGCCATCGTCGCAGTTATCCTAATGGATTATTCTCAGTATATCCCTTCAGTTTACAGCTGTTAACTAACCTCTAAATCTCTGAATACATCTCTGATGTCTGGTTTACGGGCACGGGAGGCGGCCCGCTTTCGTCGCACTGTGCGGTTCAGTCGGCGCACGCGACGGCGCACGGCGGCGGCTTGGTCGCGAGGCAGCGGGCGCACTGCCTCACCCAGCTGCGCCTCCGTCACCTCGAGACCAGCGCGCGCCGGCGCAGCCAGCGAGCCCAGACCCGCTGCTTGCAGCCACTCCGTCTCCAATTCGCCCTCTAAAAATATAAACTTATGTTATTGCCATCCTCATAGAAGTAAAAAACACAGAATGAACGAAAATCATACAGAAGTTTATGTTTACTTAGAAACTTATCTAGCTGTGCTTGTTATTGTAATACTAGCTTTATTATGTTATTGGTTACGTCCTTTCGTGTCCAATTCTTTAGTGTAGCCCTTAGTAGACTAGTAAGCATTAAATTAATTTACTTAAACAATTCATCGTTAATATAAACATATTCTAAGTTTAAACATACGACCTTCGATTTAATTCGCAATTTATATCCTTGAGAGAAGTGTTCTCGAGGCGAGTTTATGCGCGCCTTTGTTATGTGCCGATCGGTTTTTATGTTACCATCACAAAAAGTGCTACGAACATAGGACTTGCAAAAACTGGCGGAAGGTTAAAGAACTCATTTGCTCAGTTAATTTAAGTACCAGATATCATGTACTCATGGTTAATTTAAATGCATACATAATAGTATTTACTCAACATATATTCAAAATTCAAAGTTTTAAACTTATCTGTACTCTGTACTAAAATACTAGTACATTAATATTATAATAATAAAGAGGAAACATTTGTATTTTTGGATTTTTGTATGTATTTGATTCACGCAAAAACTAGTGGGCCGATTTTCAAAATTTTTAACCATTAAATAGGTCATTTATCTGTGAGTAACATAGGCTATGTTTTTTATTATTTTTTAATTACACGCGGGCGAAGTCGCTAGCAACAGCTAGTGTAAAATTTATGTTTTTTTTTAATTGAGAAAGTTGCAAATATATCTTACTGCAGAATAAAACAGATTAAAGTAATAATCCACATATGTCTAAAAATGTTGTTTTGGAGCATATAATACTTTGTGTAAGAGATGACTGTGTTTGTGTTAAAAGCTATATAAGTGTGAGTCACTGACGCTGCATCTAACTTAGCAAATGGAACAAATAAAACAAATTGCACTGTGTTTATTATACACTGATCCACAGTAGGGTTGTCGATTTAACAATAACGATTCATATTTTTCTTTTTTTTTTTAAAGAAATTTTTATTTTCAGAGTAACGGTAGAACCTATAAAACTCTATCATCTTAAAAAACATTATAAAACATTCTTAGAATTTAAAAACAAAAGGTTTTCATAACTAAAAAAGGAATTCAATAACAACGATCGTGTTAATATATTTTTTTCTATTGTTAAAATAAATATCTGAATACTTTGAAAAGTGTTTTATTTTATAAATGTTCAAAAACATATTAAACTACAATAGGCATCATTTATCCACGATTAATATTGAAAAACATATGTTTGAATTTAAACAATATCAGTATATATGGAAAATATTTCAATATGCAGCAAACGAGTGGGCCTTACAAATTCGTATATCTCTCAGTTAGCTAAAAATAGGACGTACGCTAACAAACAACATCCTGTAGCATCCAGACTGAAATAAACCACTCCTCTTACAGAAATGAGATGAGAGCGCCGACAGCGCAAGAGAATGTTTCATTGCTCTTTTGTGAAACAATAACTTTAAGAGGTTATAATTTAAAATTGGTTTTAAAACATTTTTTTGGTCAAATACACACTTTCGACAGAACGGGCGTTGCTTGCCAACCGTAGTTAATAATAGTAAATGAAATATGAAAAATCAATTAAAAACGCTGCATTATCTTATACAATATCTATACTAATATCGTAAAGAGGAAAGATTTGTATTTTTGTATGTATTTGATCCACGCTAAAACTACTAGGCTGATTTAAAAAAAAATCATTATAAGGGTAATTTATCTGTGGGTAAAATAGGCTATGTTTTGTATTATTTTTTTGATGTCACACGGGCAAAATCGCGAGCAACAGCTAGTAAATTATACAATAGTCTTTGGAATAAAAAAACTTTTACTTATAGCCCCCATTTGATTATCGCCCTTCCCCCTCCAAGATCGTGGGCTCTCGACGCACATGTTAGCGTTTGTAAATCCTGCATTTATCCACAAGAAACAATTTGCAACGAATTAACCGTGTTTTTTTAATAATTAAATCGGTAATTGATTCCAAAGACGGATAAACCGTTCCCCTTCAAATACTTTAATAAGATATAATATTTAATAGGATGTTTAACCACGTATCCATTAACGCACTTCCTGACATTAGCAAATAACACGTTCAACATTAATCTGGTGACGTCATTGATTGTTGTCAAACAATTGTCAACCTTGACGACAGTGTGCCACTCGCCTTGTAACGGAGGAACCTTGTGTACTTGAGACTCGTCTTTACTTTCTTAGTCTTGGTAATTGTAACCAAGGTTAGTTGGTATCTATATGAAAGTGAATAAGTAACGTGTAAGCTTAATTTAACTTTACAACTCTATGAATTTCTTAACGATATAAATACGATTTAAATCGACTCAAAATATTAAATCAAAATACGAAACAGATTACAAAAACAAAAACAAATCTGTCATGATTTTGACGTTCACAGATAAGTAAAATATATTCTTTGAACGTAACATGAAACCAATTTGTATCTTAGATAACAGATAAAAAATATTAACATAAGATCGATTTTTATTGTTTCATGTCATTGTTAAGTCACGAATACAAACATTACTACAAAGATAAGCTCTTGAATAATAAAAGAACATCACAAATAATCACCATTAGTTTTCCCAATGAGTAATTTAAAGTATTCTTCATTCAAACTTTATTGTGATAGAATTAATTTCATTAAATAGTTGAAATCTTTGAAATATAATATTAAATTATTGTACAAAATGAGAGTAACTAAAATACCAACTTATGGATTTTAACCCTTAATCAAACAAGACTTTTTTCATTAACAATGGCACAATAACTGTCCAAAAAGGGTTAACAACATCACAGTTGTGCAAGAAATACATGATACAATGTCGGAAGTCAAGGTCGCCTTAACTATTTCTTAGTCATATCGCTTTCAAATGTTTGGTATTTGTATGTGTTGTCAACTGTGAAATATGGATTTAGCTTAATTTATCAAAATTCGATAAATATGTCGTCAGATAAAAGTATTTCAGAGATATTTATATTACGACAGGACGTTTATGCATGATTGTTTCTAACGATGCCACTTAACTCAAAGAGGGGTGAACGTCCTACGACAGACGCGACATCTAACGGCCACACACAATCTAACACACAACTGATGTATAACAAAACATGCTTTGGATTAATTATAGCAATCATAAATTAATCTTTCCTGGTAGGATTATTATCGCGATTTATTCCACGGAAAACTCAATATGGACATTTATTATTTTCCGATTGGAAATAATTTTACACAAAATAATAACAGACCACTATGGTCTTGATACACTTTTTACAAAATCAGAATAAAATTGTATTATTAATTATTATTCTAATTAAATAAACCGCAAACAGTTTTTTTAAATCGTAAATAATTGTCCGATAACGGAATTCGTGTTATATTTTACCCGCATCGAGCCCATTGATGTGTTCGTAAAGCGACGTGCACATGTGATTTATAGCAGATATAAATCGCGGTTAACGTTACATAGCAATTAACGCTAATAGCGGTTGCTTGTGGTGACATTCTGTTACATCAAGTGACTTCGGAGGGACGGTTTACGTAATATGAATTTTGTAATTCAATTGAAATGTATACCGCTTTATATTATTTACTTACATGTATTATATAAATTAGATACTAACTTGTCGTTTTCCAAATGAATATTCGACTACCAAAACATAGTCCTATCCCGCCAGTTCACTAAACACTAGGTACAATATGAAAGTACTCACCTATAACGTATTTGGCGTGAAATCGACATAGCGCCCCCATAACACACATTGGTAGACCGTTGGATTTATTATTTTTATATTAAAACCGATTAACAAACAATGACCGTGACTTTCCGCACATCACATTGTTGTAAATCCAAAACAAACGGCGCACTCAACAACCGTTGCGTTTGCACTAATTCTACACGCGATTTACAAATTCAACTAATAAGATGTTTAAAAATTCAAGTTGAATTTACCGTTCGATGATAAGAAATTAATAGGTGTTGGATGAATCAACGAAACGTCACAGTTGGACGATAATGTGGGAATCCATTGTTTTAACTCATCGGGAGTGCGTGACGTGTGACGGGCGTTGGCAAGAAAGTGTACCGCGATCTCCCTTCGAACTATCGATTTAGAAAGAGATAGGTATTAAATATTTTTGAGAAAATGACGATGTTTTGAGTATGAACAGTGACGTATGACCGCGTGAATCGGACGGCGGCGCGTTTCTCACTGCGTGGGCTCACCGACTCCTCGACTCAAGTTTATTATGGTCCTGTATTTATAGACTCGATCGATATACAATTGGAGAATGAGATATATGCAATAAAACGAATATTAAACATAGATTGAATGACCAGTTTGACTAACCGTTAGTCCCTAACTAAGTAAGCTGGCAATGGACGCGACTGAACACTATTTCACGAGGAAGTTAAAAAAAAATTTAGAGTTCATTCTAGTACTGACGAGTGGAAAAGTCAAAAGGTGATTTTGCACTTCATATTATATTTGCCTCTTTAATATCGTCAGATTCCTGAAAACAACTTAAAACTGCATTACTGAAACCAATTTGTATAGCTCTACAATTGTTCAAAAAACACGGCAATCGGAAGTCTAAACTTTTTCAAATACAACTATATTCTTTACCACTACCATATAAGTACCTGTATGCAAAGCTATCTATATCTATAATCTATTACAAAAGCACAAGCAAAATGAATAAATGTCGTTGACAGTACCTAGATATATTTAACTTGTCTAGACTAATTCGTGCGTTGACACAAATACCGCGTAGGAGGAACTCCAACTCAATGTTTGTTTATTTTTATGTTATAACATATATTTATATACTCATATGTTTATTACGTAATTAGGACTATATACAGAAACATAAGAACAGATTACAAGACAAAAAACACAAAGTTGAGACCACT